AGTATGTGAACCCTTTGGAACTACCTGGATTTCTGCATACATTGGTCATAAAATGTGTTCTGATCTTCATCTAAGTCACAACAATAGACAAACACAGTCTGCTTAAGCTAAAACCACACAAACAATATGTTTTTATGTTTTTATTGAACACACCATGTAAACATTCACAGTGCAGGGTGGAAAAAGTATGTGAACCCTTGGATTTAATAACTGGTTGACCCTCCTTTGGCAGCAATAACCTCAACCAAACGTTTCCTATAGTTGCATATCAGACCTGCACAACGGTCAGGAGGAATTTTGGACCATTCCTCTTTACAAAACTGTTTCAGTTCAGCAATATTCTTGGGATGTCTGTTGTGAATCGCTCTCTTGAGGTCATGCCACAGCATCTCAATTGGGTTGAGGTCAGGACTCTGACTGGGCCACTCCAGAAGGCCTATTTTCTTCTGTTGAAGCCATTCTGTTGTTGATTTACTTCTGTGCTTTGGGTCCTTGTCCTGTTGCATCACCCATCTTCTGTTGAGCTTCAATTGGTGGACAGATGGCCTTAAGTTCTCCAGCAAAATGTCTTGATAAACTTGAGAATTCATTTTTCCCTCGATGATGGCAATCTGTCCAGGCCCTGAGGCAGCAAAGCAGCCCCAAACCATGATGCTCCCTCCACCATACTTCACAGTTGGGATGAGGTTTTGATGTTGGTGTGCTGTGCCTTTTTTTCTCCACACATAGCGTTGTGTGTTCCTTCCAAACAACTCAACTTTGGTTTCATCTGTCCACAGAATATTTTGCCAGTAGTGCTGTGGAACATCCAGGTGCTCTTTTGCAAACTTCAAACGTGCAGCAATGTTTTTTCTGGACAGCAGTGGCTTCCTCCATTTTATGACCAACTTATGCAGAAATCCAGGTAGTTCCAAAGGGTTCACATACTTTTTCTTGCAACTGTATGTAGTACAGTAGGTGTGCTGTGATTAATGATCCATATGTCATACCAGACCTTGGAAGACACTGAGCAGGAGCTGACCTGTGTGTTGTGGGAGCAAGGGGCATAGAGAAAACCAACAAAATGAATCTTAAAATGTATTAGTGGTAGGCCAGATTATATGCTTTATGATTGTTAAACATTGAGAGCTGTGTCCCAAATGGCAACTTCTACACACAAAATAGTCCCCGTCATGTATTTATTTAGCCCAATTAAAAAAGCGAAATGTCTGCCATTTACTATTCCTGTTAAAATCACAACATATAGCATGAAGGTTGAGCATTCGCAACGTCACTGTAGTGTTCTACACACAACTGTAATCGTACCAGACAGTCATTCAGATCTATTCTTATATGAAAATATCCAACAAAGACTGTATGGGCATCCAGTTGTATCAGAAGGAGTCTAATACAGAGACAGAAGGAGAGTTAAAAGGATGTTGATGAGCAAAGGTTAGAAAACCCAAATATTTTTGGTCTCTTTGGAATGAGGATGTGAGTGGAAAGCCAAAAAGGCAACCTTCTTTAATTGGTAGAGTTTCTTGTGTGAAGCATAAGTGTGCAGACAGAAAGCAGATGGGGCTGTAGTTGAGCTGCTGAATGATGGAGAAATAACAACAAGCAGACAACCTCTTTCACTTAGACGGATGCTATGTCAGCAGGCAGCTTGTGCACATCATACTAACAAGGGACCAATAGGCATGCATGCACGCCGTGATCACAAACACATGCACGTTGACATACAAACGCAATGTTGTGCCTTTTGGCTAAAAATCCATACACAAGATCCCTGGGTAAACAATGGTGATGTAGTAGTTAAACATGTATGTTAAAAAGCTGTATTTTCTCAGCCTCTATTCCAGATGAGTGTGCTTGTGTGTGCGTTTTATAACTGGCCGTAATGACTGAAATCAAACCTGTGAAGTAGGTTAACCATCCATCAACACCCTCATGTTTATGACAGGTGACAAAATCTTTAATATCCGCACGGTAACTGAGGCCACTATATTGTTATTATAATATCTTTGTGACTGTGCAGGGTCATTTAACCGTGAGTGTCAGCCCTAATTGAATTAGTGCTGACACTAAACAGGTCAATGCAATAAAGCAATGTTTCATACATGCTCACTGATTCCATTAGAAGCCCAGAGAGTATGTCATTTTTATGCCGTGGCCTTTTGCCTGCTAAAGTCAAACTCACAGTAAAACTGAACCCCCATAGAAATCTGATCCATGTATTGGCTTACTGAGCTGGTTTTCGGCATCAAGAAATAAACCAAAGTATCAGCTGTATAAACACTGAACAGTCGAGTTGGCTTAGAACCTTCAACTCATCTCCAAATCAGCGCAAACACAAACTCACCACACATCAAAAACGAATTGGATAACTCTCATTGTAGCTGGCAGACATTGGCAGTGTCATGACTATTATGTTCTATACTAAAGTGCCATTTCTGCTTTTGGTTAAGTTGATTGATGCAAACCTGGATGCAGTCATCATCAGTCATCTAAATAGAATATCAGGCTTAACCATTCAAATTACCCTTCAAACATTAAGAGAAAACCACAGCAATTACATGGTCCAGAATTACACAGAGATAATAACTCAGTTCTTGTTTCACACCCTTGGCAGCCCTGATCCTTTATCATTATCAAGCACCTGGGCCGACAACTAGGCCTTTTAGTTTCCTTGGCAATAAGCAAGCCAAAGCTTTCTCCTCTTCTTCAGGTGGAAGTGAGTCAACAGCACTGTTGTACAAATCGCCCCCTCGCCACACTCATGGATGCTAAGCTCAATGTAGAGTATTGAAATAAAAAAGGAGCATGGAGACACATAACAGTGTCCTGCCATTGACAAGAAACATGTTTCCACAGACCAAACACACACTGGCAGCAAAGCACTACAGAGGCTTATCAGAGATAAACATGCTGGGGGGGCTTTTTTATTCAAAATTCATTCAACCAGGAAAACACAAACCAACACTCTTTTCCAGAAGCCCCTGGGATCACGCTGCACACCTGGGGGCTTTCAAAACAGCAGCTACATTGTTGGGCACTGAGCACTTGCACTGGACAAAGGTGCAGTCATTTGTAACTAAACCGGTGACCCTGTGATTTCAATCCCCTCAACTTGAAATAACACAAACCCTGCTTATTGCTGAACATATTTTATGTAATGGAGGATTTTGGATCCCATGCTTGTACCTTTTTTTATTCAATATCCTTGGCATTTGTAACTGTTGGTTGGACAAAACAAGCAATTTAAATATTTAGCTTTTGGTGAGAGATAGGACTAATAAGAGAGAAGCTAATTTTGAATGTGACTGCTACGGCTATTTTACAGATCATTAAATGACTAACACCATGAGATCTCTAAAGCAGACAGCTGGATGCAGCATGTAAATCTTAATAACACTGTAGTGCAAAATATGTGAATCCTGTTGACTCAGTCAGCATAAAATGCCAAGTCACCATGGTAACAGGGGATGCAACACGCTTTATAAAGGGTGATGGAGACAGAACACTATTCACAAAGAGCATCATTGCAGGATCTATTTCAACTGTTTATAATGATGCGGTGATCAAACCGGATATGCCATCAGATTTTGTGCATTACAGCCAAAGCTTGGGCTACTATAGGTCACGTTGAAGCTTTTTTATTATGTAACTGCGTTGAATTGGTAGAAATTACCAGGCGCTGACGAATTCTCACATGAACGCTTTCTACAGCTATTCCATTGCTGCTTAAATTCCGACCGGACCCCCTCAATGTGTTCGGAGACACACACGTCATTAACCACTAGCGTCAGTCAACAAAGTTGCATAACATTTCAGTCACATCCCTTCCATCCTTACAAGAATATTTGGAGCCCTCCATTAATAAATTATGGAGTTATACATCACAGGAAATCTACACCAGTTTAGAAGATTAGCCTATAGCCTGTAGGGAAAAGCCTGTAATGTGTCGTTCGCGTAAAGTGTATTTAATTCGATAATCCCTCCCAGTCCACCCACATAAAGACATCTGGTAAAACATCTGACAAACAGATTCTGGGTACAGGGCGGATGGATGTGCGCCTACCTGTCCGCAGGTTGAAGGAGAGTCGGGCTTCAACCAGATATGGGGTATCGCTCTTGGAGCGGAGTCTCCTGATCGGTCTGCGGTCTGTGCTGCTGTCTGGAGTGGTCGCCATCAATTTGAACCAGTGTCCAGGGATAACTGCCGGCCGACTGGGGCAGAGGCAGAACCACGGCCACTCACACTGCGAGGTAGCTAGCGATGGGGAGGAGGGAGTCCACACACACCGAGAGAGAGAGGGGAAGAGAGAGAGGGAGGGAGAGAGCGAGAGAGAGTGGAGTGGGTGGGGGCGTTGGTGGGATGGTGTAAGTGAAAAAAACACTAGCCTATATTTTGGGAGGGGTGTGTGCCAATATTATGATAATGTGTTCCCCCATTTAGGTCAAATGCATTGATTGTGTCTTGTCATCAACGTTTATCACAAAATCGTTTGCTATAGGCCTAGCTACTGAATCAGACATAGGCCTATATATTTATGTTGCGGCTCTACCATGATTAGTTACAGAATTAGCAGTATTGTTGTTGGGAATTCAGTGTTTTTACACTAATAATCAATCAATTTGTGAATAGATAGCCTATCTATTATTTCAAATAGGCTTTTTAGGGCACTAGGTGGCTTCACTTATCATACCCTAGCCATCACACTTTAGATAAAAGTATCATATTTGATGACAACCAAACAGTCGTGAAACACAGAACAAATGAAGGCAGTTTCATGCCATTAATACGTTTTGTTTCTAAAAAGCAAAACATTTGCAGTAAGGCAGTCTACAAACACAATACGACTCCTATGGTGAAGCATAAAGTGCTGCTCTTTTTTTATTTTGGGATGAATGAATCATCCTGAATGAATCACACTTACAGCAGTCCACCACCAGATGGCTCTCCTCAACTAAACATTTTTGTCAGTAAACATTTTTTTTTTCAGAGTGCGATTTACGACAGTGTGGTACGTTTACGGCGCCTCGTACTTGCAGTGATAGAGCTAAACCATGAGGTAAACAAGCAAACTGCTTGACTTTCTGCTCCTAAAAGTAGGAATATCATTTAGCGAGGTAAGTAAATTAAAGTTTATTTATCAGTGCTGTTTCAGCGTAGTAAACGCTACCTGTAAATACCATGCAGTCTGGTGTAAATACACACGTTTGGATGTGCACGTTAGTTCCTGTTTTTATGACGAAGAGAGCGACAGGATTATATCCCAAACTAACTTCTCGACGTTTTGTTAACGCAGTACATTTGTGAAGGACTGTGCAACAGGTAATACAACGTTAAACAACTGTACGCGTACTCCCAGCGTGCGAGAGTTAAAAAGGCTGGGAGGAAAAAGGTTTAAAGAAGTTTAAAGTCCGTTTAAAAATGGCCAATAAACTGAAACAGTGGACGCAGCTGTAACTATGGAAATCTACAGTATGGCAACGGTTCTTTGAGTTGTGGTGAATTGTAGTCTTTTATACATGAGGGCTGGGCCTCTTGTAAAACCTGTTTCGACACAGTTGACTTGAATGTTCAGTCTTGTAGGGCTCGCCCGTTTCTATGTGTGTATTGATAGTTTGTCGAAGCAGGCCGTTTACCCTTACCTGTCTATTATTTTTACATGTATTTGTATGCACATTCCTTCTTATCATTACCAACAAGTAGGTGTGTTGCAATTGCCTGGTACAAGTCAAGAGTGTCATTGCTCTGACTTGCACAAGCACAAGAATGCAGGCATACCTGCCATATCTTTTTATGATTTTGTTTTGCTATGTTATATAAAGGGAGGCAGTTGCACATCCGTAGGCTCAATTATTCCGAATTTACTTTATATATGAAGTATAACCCTCAGTTATGATGAAAACTTTTCACACACAGCATCACATATACAATATGATTTTTCCTACTCTTCATTGCAGCTTTTATCCTTATGGCTGAACTATTACAGCAAATGTTGATATTTTAGATGAATTTAGCATTTATTTTGTCTGCATTAAGTTACATATTGTGTATCTTTGGAAACGTTGGGATGTCTGTTAAGATTATCTGTGATGTTCTGTTGGTTTGAAAGCTTGGCTGCACAAAATAAGGTTTTAAAGAAAATGTAAGTTCCATATTTCTCAAGTCATAATGCATGAAATATAAAGAGAACATCTGCAGGACATGCTTTAAATGAATCAACAAGTTGTTTTTGTGTTATTTTTCATGTGTTCTTCTGGTCTTCTTGGACAACAGTGACAATGCTACTCCAGAATCGAGCTGTGATTGCCCTTGGTCTTCGCATTTCCACAAATGTGCTGAAAGGACCTTTGATGGACACAGCAAGACCCAACTCAGGTAAAATGATAAAGGTTAGGCTTAATGAGGTTTTAGGTTTGTTGGCTGCTGTGTCAGATGAATATTGGTCCTTCCTTTAACATTAATTATCAGCCAATCAGGTCATCCTTCCTGACAAGCTCTGTGCATCAGAACTTTATTCAGAAAAATGTTTGAATTCAGTGTTTTTAGTAATGTTTTGCAACAAGTTACAGACACATAGTTGTACAATTGCATAGCCAACAGGACATCTTTCTCAAATCAATCTTTCCCCTCTCTACTTATGCAAAGTCTGTTGCAGAGACACCAAATGTATAACATATTGTAATATTAGCAATTATAATAATACTTAGGCCAACTCCTATAAGTAAGATGAAGAAAATATGTATAATGACACATAGAAGTCTTTATATCTTGCTCTTCTTTTTATTTTCCCAGACATGTCTGAATTCCGCAAGGTTTTTTCCAAAGCCAAGCACATAGCAATCATCACAGGGGCAGGTGTGAGTGCAGAGAGTGGAGTACCAACCTTCAGAGGAGAACATGAGAAGTGGAGGAAGTGGCAATCTCAGGTAATTTTCTTAAAAGCAAAACACACTTCTTTTTTTGTGGTCTTTTTATATAGGTCAAACTTTTGTGTTTGGTCTGATTTCCAGCTGCGGTTCACACTTGTTGAGTGGGTGTATTTAATGCTTACATAATACATCTTCACAGCTCAGTGGATTTATCTTGGAAGCAACAGCCAAGAGGAATGGTGTTTGTTGCATAATCTGGATACATGTTGTGGGCTACATGGAGATTTACCTTCAGGAAAGAATAAAAAAAATAGTCTTTCATAAAAAAAGATGATATTCTCCCCTTTTTAATCGAGGTGTTAAACCTAATCTTTGCCTTTCATTATCTGTCAAATCCTTGCCTCTGAATACAACAGGTTTGACCTTGTTAGCATTTGAGTTTTGAGTTACAACATGCTTCTGTTTATGTATGCACAGGACCTGGCGTCCCCAGAGGCCTTCTCTCGAACACCGTCCCGTGTCTGGGAGTTTTACCATTACAGGAGAGAGCTGGCTTTGAACAGGAAGCCCAGTGCTGCCCATCTGGCTATAGCCGAGTGTGAGGCCCGGCTGAAGAAGCAGGGGCGCTCGGTGGTGGTCATCACCCAGTGCACCGACGACCTGCACCGACAGGCCGGGTCCAAACATCTGCTCAAGATTCATGGTGAGTTTGGCCAGAACTACACGCCACCATGCATTTCACTAAAGACCTGGGGCCGTATTCACAAAGGATTTTAGGGCTAAAAGTAGCTCCTAACTGGCGAATTTAGGAGAAACTCCTAAGCATAATGGGCGCGTCAGTCTTAAATTTAGGACTCCTAATTTTATTCACTAAGAGCAATTCACAAAGTATTTTAAGGCCTAAAAGTAGCACCTAAGTCTGGGAGAGCTTAAAAGTCCTCGAGAGGACTCCTAACTCAGTAAGACCTATTCACAAAGAATCTGAAAATGGCTGAGACGAAATGTTTTGGAGACAATGGAAGACTGTGAATTGATCAAGAGATATAGGCTAAATTGTGAGGGTATCAAACTTGTTGTGGAATTAGTGCGGGATGCAATAACATCCCCGACTAACAGGAATAACCCGATTAGTCCGGAAATAAAATGTTTGGCAACACTACGATATTTAGCAACAGGGAAAATGCAACTTTGCAATGCCGAGGATTTAGGAATATCGCAACCATCAGTCAGCCGTGCCATAAACCAAACCATCAACGCGCTCTCTAGACCACATATCATCCAACAGTTTATCCGGTTTCCTTTGGACAATCAACAACTACACAGGATCAAAGCCAACTTCATGGCAATGCAGGTATGCCCGGTGTGGTCGGTGCTATTGACGGGACGCACATAAAAATAATTGCGCCATCAAAAGATGAGGACGTGTTCGTCAATAGAAAGAAAGTACATTCCATCAACACGCAGATTGTTTTCATTCATCATGATAGGGGGACTTGAACGGCGGTATGGGCTGTTATTGAAAGTGTTTAAGTGCTGGAAATATGCTCATTGGATAATAGTTTGCAGGGTGCTTTTAATTGCCTCCTCGATTTAATGCAATTTACGTATTTTTATTGTTTGCTCTCTCTCTTTAACG